ATATATATATATATACATATATAGAATCTAAGAAATAAATGCGCGCATTTATTGATAAAAGCGAGGCGTGAATATGGACCATTGTTTTTTCGGTTATTGCATATAATTTTTTTCCGATCGCAGCTATCAATTCCATTCATAGAACAGTCGATTGTTCGATATTCACCGGATCTTCGTCCTATATTCGACTTTCCGCAAGCTAGTGGCATCATGGAAAACTGAACGAATTACGAAGTTTAGTTTCGAAAGCTCCAACGTGAAATCGATCATTTCCATGTCGTTAGGCGATAGCCGCCTAAGATGGAAATACCTTGAAATATCCTGAACGTGAATCCCTCCGGACCTACTTGGATACTGCCCAAGGAATGATATTGCAGCTGTTGCTCTAAGATAGCACGCACTTCGAGCTCGTCCGTGAATGTCGAACCAATGTCTAGAGTAACTTGTGACGTAAAAGCGTCGGTCGTTGGCCTAAAAGAGAAATTTTAATTATTAAACAACTCAATGGAGACACGACTTTAAGAATCTAAGACAATCTTGGACTAGATTGCAATTATACTTACGATATCTTGACGACGCTGGCGAAATGATTGTATCCTGGAATGTGACGATTGTACAAATTTTCGACGGCGTGTGTAAGATTGCTACTCAATTCTCGGTATTCAAGACTGTTTCTGTCAGCGTATTCTCGTCTGTACGGCTCGCTAACTGTCAATGTTATTCGATAGAAACCTAAAAGAGAAACATTCATTAGTAATAAGTAATTTCATAGAAATATATCAATAAATAATTTTTTATACTTCTTTTTATATATATTTATTTTATAAAGAGAAATTTTATTTCAAATATCACTTCTATTTCAGCCTCTTGATGTATTATCCTTCATCCCCGTTTTATCTACTTTATAAAACTAATACTCTCTGACGTTATTAATATTATGTTTGAAAAAGTTAGTGATAAAAAAAAGATAAAAAAGTTTAATGTTATTTTTAAAGATACCGATAAGATTTTTTGCATGTTTTAAAAAAAGATATTCTGGTTATCGGAAAAATAAAAATATCTATATTCAAATAATAATATATCCTAATTTCTTATCACTAAAAAAAATTCTTATTAAGTGTATTATATATAAGTGTACGAAAATATAGTGTATTTTACGTTCAAAATTTAAACAAATAATAGACTTCAATATTAAACAATTGATATAAACATTATATAATAATAAAATTAATATTAACTACATAATTTTTGGATTAAAATATTTTTGATATATGATTGTACGATATATATCGATTTGATATATATCGTACATTGGTCAAATCGATCAACTTCTTTTTGAATACTTTAAAATTTTATCGTCAAAGCGCTTAATAGAAATCAATCAAGTACTTTGATGATAAAACATTCAAAATGTGAAGTTAATCGATGACGAATGAACGGTTCATATAGAATAAAGTTCTTAATATAAAGCTGTCTCTTCTGCTATCGATGTTATAAAAATAGATATCAAAATATTTTTTAAAATCTTTGCAATTTTGATCAATAAAATTTATGCACAGCAGACAAATTGTTATAATAATTTTTATTATTTTTCTTATTTATTATATATATATATATATTGTTTAAGAAATTATTATATACTATTAGTATGCTATTCTATAATTAAAATTAATAAAGTTTTAATAGATTCGTCTCTCAAAAAAAAAAAAAAACTCTGATTTACTTCATATTCTTTAATTTTTTAAATTAATAAAATCACGAATAAAAAAATTAGAAACTTACGTGCTTTGCCATCAGTGTTGCGATGTGTGTTTCCTGAGTTGGGAGAGTAATCCACTTCGCCTGCACTGCCTTCGATCTCTCCTGAACCAGCCAAATCTTCATCATCGGTATTTCCATACGTTAGTGGTATTCTCTGATTTTCTGCAGGGTTATTAATTTCATTTTCATGCTGTAAAGACGTAATAAATTTCCATGTAATAGATTGAATGTCATAACTGAAAAAAAAACGTTAAAAAGCACAAATGTTTAAATTGTTCATTAACTTTGTATCTATCCTTCTATACATTAATCATTTTAATTATTTTGTTTTTAAACACTATTCAAATGAAAAATATTCGTGCAATCTAACCTTTACAAGAGGGGGTCTAGTGAGTGATTATTTTTGTGGAAGTTCCTTTGAGTCTTTTGGTAATTATAAATTATATTATATTTTATTATTTTCCAAAATAAAGTGCCAATATTTATTCTAAAAAGTTGAAATATTGGTAAATTTTTAAAGATTTTTTTGAATCCTTCTGAATAGGTGAAAAAAACGGACGGATTGTAGTTTGTATGGAGGTAATGAAATTGTAGCTAGTACGGTAAGGGTTAATTAAATGTGACAAGTAAAAATTCAAAAGGTAATTATTTTTGAAGCGATATTCCATACCTCATCTGCTTCATCATTGTCTTCGTTTTTCTCGAGAACCAATCTTTGGATGACACCGATACCCGTTTTGGCATTTGGCACTTCAGGCTGATCAAGAGTATGATTTTCTTCATCTCCAACGTTTAAGATGACAGATTTGTCAATATCTTCATTTTGAATCTCATTTTCTTCTTCTTGATCTATCGGGTATAAAATTTGATAATTCGAAAATTGAATAATGACATAGCTTAAAAAGAATGCAAGTGTTTTTAATTTCGTAATCCTAACAATAAAAATTTACTATAATATAACAATGCAGTTTTTGCTAATTGTACTCATTTAAAGGAATTGATACCTGACGGCGGTGGTGTAGTTGTCGTGGTCGTGGTCGTAGATAGCGATGTAATTAAATCCCAAACTCCTCTTTTTATCCTGTGAAAAAAAGAATCGTCCTGATGCGTTTCAATCAATGGTGCTTGAGCCGCAGTTTGTTTGCCTTCCGGATCGAAAATCAAGTCGTCATCCTGAAAAAGCAAATCGACATTATAAATTATAAAACTTTATAAAAAAATAACAATTGTTTTTCTATTGATAATATTTATAATATATAAACAATAATAATTATAATATATAAATGTAATCCTTTTAATTAATCCACAGTTCCTATAGAAAATTTACACAAGTTTATAAACCCAACCTTTTCACGAAACTCGAAGTTTTTGTGGTACGCTTGAATTTTTCAAGCGGTTTTATAGATATCCTCCGTATTCGTTACAATTTTTTGCTTATGACAAATTCATAAGTCGTTATCGTTATTGTAAATTATAAAATTTGACAATTGTTTTTCTATCGATATATATATATATGATATAACAATCTCCCCCTTTAATTAATCCATCGTCTTTAGAGGAATTTCGCACAAGCTTATAAATCTTTTATGAAATGTAAAACTCAAACTGTCTCTTCAGTTATATGTCAAACGGTTTCATAAACTTTCTTCCGTATTCATTGCAATTTTTTTGTCACTTATGACAAATGCATAAGTCACTATCTCATCGGGTGCCCGAGTATCTGCCACCTAGATAACCACATGTGGCCGTATACGCGCGCGCGAGCGGCAACGGCACGTACGTGTGAAAGGCCATTGAGCGTGTATATCACCAAGTATCCTCACGTGTTCCTCATAAAGAACCAATTCTCACCTAAACACACGATATAAATTCAGGATCGTCGGGCCATTCTGCCGGTAGCAGCGCGTCGTGATTCCGTAAGAACCGCGCGACCGGCAAACTGCCCAGGATTCGAGTACGCGGGTCAATGACGTAGTTCGTTCGGGATGAAAATGGAGAACCGGCGTACCTTATGGTGGATATAAGCCGCAGGAGCCAACCGGAATAACGTATCGTTATGGGCGAATACCTGACGATCTTGGGGTACGTACAACCCGCCTGGTTATGCAAGCGCGCTGCCGTTACAGCATAAGTATGAATAATACACCGTATAGGTATACCGAGTGGTGAGGCCTTACGGGCGTTTCTTATGTAGGAATGGAAAGGCGCCGACGATCGATTAACGAATGTTTTTATTTATTCACGTTTTGAATAAATTCTCTCATTCTATTTGCGTACTCATTCATGAGTGACGGTTTAATCAATAATATTAATGAAAAGTCGATTTTGTTAAAATTTCCTAATCCTCAACACTGAGAGAAATGATTTTGTTATAGGAACAGATCAAGGGAAATAAATGTAATATTTGTTAAAAAAACGATCGATTTTATTAATTACTATTGCATTAATTATTTCTCATTCGCCAATGTAACCATAATCAATAGTATAGTTTGTAAATAAGCAATAACTTGCATATACATATATAGAAGTTGTAGGGTAAATCGTAAGTAGGTCAAATCGTAAGAAATTGACTGATTCTAGTCAAATATTCTCTCTATATTTGTGATCAATTTGCTCTATGACTTAAGACTCCATGATCATCTACATTGAGAAGAAAATGTAGTTAATTTTAATAACTATTTGGTTCAATACTGCCAACTAAACATTTACTTATAGCAAATAAATATTTGTTCAATAAAAAAAATGATTGTTAAATTAAATTAACATTTCTTGTATCAAATAAATATATCTTTATATTTAATAAATTTATTATTTAGTTGGCAGTATTCAACTAAATATTAATTTTTATTAAAATTGACTATATTTTTTTTCAGTGTATGTAAAATGAACCTAATAAATAAGTCTAAAGTCTATCCAAAAGATAGATTCTATATAGTTTGCTTCTGATATTAATAATTGGTTGGTATAGTAGATTAACAGTAATCACAACAAAGCAAATTTGTCATATTTAAAGATCACTTGTTAAAAGTACTAGTGGCTTGTTAAATTAACAAAATCCTTTCTCTCAGTGAAGATTACAATTAATTTTCAGCAATACCTACTTTAATTTATTTTTTAATCTGCGATTCTTTTCTGTTTCGTATAAAAAATTCATTTAGTTTCGAAGTGCATCAGCGATTTCTTTTCAACGAACGAACGACAAATAAAGATATGTTTCGTTTCCGATACTGCGATAGATGTACGCACGCACAAAGTGCACTGTAACATGTGAACGAAAGCATCGTGTCTTTTTCCATGGGCGCGAGATGGGAGACTCGTGCACTGGTAATGAAGCTTAAATCGCAGAGTCGAGACGTATTATTATGGTGACGCATTTACACGCCTCGGACGTCATTTAAAAATTCGCGTGCAACATCTGACGATCGCGCGCGCCTACACATGCAAGTTGTATTTGCTCGCGCATGCACACGTCGTCGAAAAGGGAGTGCGAATACACGGCGTATGTGTTATGTAACTTTGAACTCGGTTTTAACGAGGCTAATGACACGGCGGTGCGTTTATTAATTCGCGTTTATTAATTCGAAATAACTCAAACGTTCGTTGCAACCGCATCCGCTTGCGAAACATTTCTAATGCCTTCTCTTCATATCAAAAATATCAAAAGAAACATGTAACGCAATAGATATCATTATTCCAGTTTCGTATTAATTAACTTTTTTTCTTATATTCGCGAATGTACTTGAGTTAACAACCACAAACATGAGTTAAGAACGCGACAACACTCGATGTGCTTGTTGTTTCGAAATTGCGGAAGTCCGGGCTTAGCGGGACGCAGATAAAACATACTGCGAGGGACCATTTTAGATCGCGATAACGACCATGATGCGCGACACATCCTGCCAGAAAACAGCCCATACATTGTTCGCAACGAAGTTTTATTACAGATAATTTTGCATCGAAACTATCCTTTAAACGATGATGTTCCGCGCGTTTATCGTTATCGACTAACATGAGAGAACATAGATTTTGTAATTTAAAAATATTAATGAAAAAGAACAAGATATTCTTCTCTCCCCAAATACTCTAACAAATTCAGTAAGAATCAGTGAAACGTAAAACGATTAAAGTCACCTGTCAAGTGTGATAAAAAAAGGCAAAAAATGTGATAAAATATTATTCCGTAGCTGACATCAAACTAGTAACACAATTACTGACACTGAGTTTGTAAGATTTAATATCTGTGGATTAAAAGTAAATTAAATACTAATTAACTTTAAGAAATCAAAATGACTCGTATAAAAAAAAAAGTACAGTAAAAAACAAGTACATTTTAATAAGAATAATCCGAACAGACAAAAAAACATTGAATTGTTTGATTTTTTGTATAAAATGACAATTGCCACAACAATACAATTGAATTAAGAACTAAATACTAAAATTTAAATATAGTAATATATTTTTTATCATAACATTACTTCATAGCAAAAGAATTATTTTTATTCATCAGAATTTCTATTATTCAAACAACTGCATAGTACACTATTAAAAATAAATGTTTAATTTAAAGATGTATAGTGGACTTTCTGAGATGTAAAAATCTCAAAATTATTATCTTTTTTATTTTTAATTCAAGACTCACGTCAGCTCTGGAAGATTAAATATTAAATTTATTTCTTATTTATCCAATAATTAATAGTTCAAATTCGTTTTTTAATTCTTTTCCTTCATAATATAAAATCGCAGCACAGACTTTACAATTAGATATCTAAATGTGTTGAAAATGTTTTGCAGTATATTTCTTATATGTATTTCTTATTTTATTATGTATTTCATGACTCTGTAAATTTCTACATTGGACGCGTTCGTTGCACAGTCATGAAGCGCTAACGAGAATAAAATTGAGATTGGACGTCATAATAGAGCTATTCAGAAAAAATTAAGAATCTGACCGCGGAAGGGATGCAAGATGGGAGGGAGATGCACCCTGAGATGCGGAACTTTGTTATTCCGGCCAAGTTTTACACGGGATTCCGTAGCTAAGTCCACTCTATGATCCTTTCACGGCAACTACGTGCTCATACTTCGACAAAACACCGCCTCTATAGTCCGAAATCCTTAAAATGCATGGGAAATACGTGTTGCCGCAGGTTAAGTAGCCCTAGGAAATTCGTCCTGCGTCGAACAGGACCGAAGAACTTTGGAGGGCTTTAGGATGGCAAAGTTACACGGAGATGCGACGGAGACGTAAGATACTCGGTCAATCTTCCCATTTTCATTTTTTCCCCCTTCTTTCCCTCTTTTTTTTCTTAATGAGTCTGACCTCACCTTGACGATTCGAATAACGCACCGGTCAGAATGACTCGGCGGGATGTATTTCGCAATTACGCAAAAAACTTTCGTTGCCATATGCGGTTACTTCAAACCGCACGATGGAATATGCGGAGCGCCGATGACTATACAAGGTAATGTGCAAGAGGAAATGTAGAAATCGGTAACAGAAGTGAGAACGCGCGTGAATTTTTGAATAGTTTAAGTCGATATACTGAATGGAGTATCTTAACAACAATTTCGACAGACCTAGAAAGAGATAGAATGCACTGTTCTTTCTCTTGAAATAAAATTCGAGCAATAGAACAATAATAGAAAGAGAGATAATAGAAAGAGTGCCCATATATTTACCTTTCTCTTTTTAGATCCGTGAAGATGAAAAATTAAAGAAATCTTGAATACTTCAACACTATATGTCAATGCAGTTAAACATACTTGTAATTAATTGTTAAATATTAAATATAAAAAGATGTAATTAATTGTATAATATTAAATATAGAAGATACCTACATTTAATATTATACACTCCATACTCTGTTGTCTAATTTTTTATTTATTTTACATCACTGCGCAAACGGCGCTTTGATAAGAACCGATAAGCACGCCTTGGAGAACAGCGGCACTTTCACCGCTGACTTCTTCTCTCATTGATGCAATTCTGAATTGCTTGTATGTTACCGAACCGTATCATATGTAGGCTATCTTCGTTTGCTTACACTCTTCTGCTCAAGTGACGTGCGCACGAGATAACAGATATATATCTTTTACATAGTGCTTTCAACAGACTCCAAAAAGCTTTTTTACATAATCGCATCGATAACAGAGATAAATGTGAAAAGAAAAAA